CCTTCATCTGGGGGTGAACCTTAATCAGGGGGTGAACCTTCATTCGGGGGTGAACCTTCATCCGGGGGTGAACCTAAATCCGGGGGTGAACCTAAATCCGGGGGTGAACCTTCATCCGGGGATGAACCTTATTCCGTGGGTGATCCTTAATCGGGGGGTGAACTGATCCGGGGGTGCACCTTAATCCGGGGGTGAACCTTCATCCGGGGGTGAACCTTCATCCGGGGGTGAACCTTAATCTGGGGGTGAACCTTAATCCGAGGGTGAACCTTCATCCGGGGGTGAACCTTAATCCGGGGGTGAACCTTCATCCGGGGGTGAACCTTCATCTGGGGGTGAACCTTAATCAGGGGGTGAACCTTAATCCGGGGGTGAACCTTCATCCGGGGGTGAACCTTCATCCGGGGGTGAACCTTGATCCGGGGGTGATCCTTAATCGGGGGGTGAACCTTCATCCGGGGGTGAACCTTCATCCGGGGGTGAACCTTCATCCGGGGGTGAACCTTCATCCGGGGGTGAACCTTAATCCGGGGGTGAACCTTAATCCGGGGGTGAACCTTGATCCGGGGGTGATCCTTAATCGGGGGTGAACCTTAATCCGAGGGTGAACCTTCATCCGGGGGTGAACCTTAATCCGGGGGTGAACCTTCATCCGGGGGTGAACCTTCATCTGGGGGTGAACCTTAATCAGGGGGTGAACCTTAATCCGGGGGTGAACCTTCATCCGGGGGTGAACCTTAATCCGGGGGTGAACCTTGATCCGGGGGTGATCCTTAATCGGGGGGTGAACCTACATCCGGGGGTGAACCTTCATCCGGGGGTGAACCTTCATCCGGGGGTGAACCTTAATCCGGGGGTGAACCTTCATCCGGGGGTGAACCTTCAACCGAGGGTGAACCTTCATCCGGGGGTGAACCTTCATCCGGGGGTGAACCTTCATCCTGGGGTGAACCTTAATCCGGGGGTGAACCTTCATCCAGGGGTGAACCTTCATCCGGGGGTGAACCTTACTCCGTGGGTGATCCTTAATCGGGGGGTGAACCTTCATCCGGGGGTGAACCTTCATCCGTGGGTGAACCTTCATCCGGGGGTGAACCTTAATCCGGGGGTGAATCTTGATCCGGGGGTGAACCTTCATCCGGGGGTGAACCTTCATCCGGGGGTGAATCTTGATCCGGGGGTGATCCTTAATCGGGGGGTGAACCTTAATCCGGGGGTGAACCTTCATCTGGGGGTGAACCTTAATCAGGGGGTGAACCTTAATCCGGGGGTGAACCTTAATCCGGGGGTGAACCTTCAACCGAAGGTGAACCTTCATCCAGGGGTGAACCTTCATCCTGGGGTGAACCTTCATCCGGGGGTGAACCTTCATCCTGGGGTGAACCTTAATCCGGGGGTGAACCTTCATCCGGGGGTGAACCTTCATCCGGGGGTGAACCTTCATCCGGGGGTGAACCTTAATCCGGGGGTGAACCTTCATCCGGGGGTGAACCTTAATCCGGGGGTGAACCTTCATCCGGGGGTGAACCTTCATCCGGGGGTGAACCTTCATCCGGGGGTGAACCTTCATCCGGGGGTGAACCTTCATCCAGGGGTGAACCTTAATCCGGGGGTGAACCTTCATCCGGGGGTGAACCTTCATCCGGGGGTGAACCTTAATCCGGGGGTGAACCTTCATCCGGGGGTGAACCTTCATCCGGGGGTGAACCTTCATCCGGGGGTGAACCTTCATCCGGGGGTGAACCTTCATCCGGGGGTGAACCTTCATCCAGGGGTGAACCTTAATCCGGGGGTGAACCTTCATCCGGGGGTGAACCTTCATCCGGGGGTGAACCTTAATCCGGGGGTGAACCTTCATCCGGGGGTGAACCTTCATCCGGGGGTGAACCTAAATCCGGGGGTGAACCTTCATCTGGGGGTGAACCTTAATCCGGGGGTGAACCTTAATCCGGGGGTGAACCTTCATCCTGGGGTGAACCTTCATCCTGGGGTGAACCTTCATCCGGGGGTGAACCTTCATCCTGGGGTGAACCTTAATCCGGGGGTGAACCTTCATCCGGGGGTGAACCTTCATCCGGGGGTGAACCTTCATCCGGGGGTGAACCTTAATCCGGGGGTGAACCTTCATCCGGGGGTGAACCTTAATCCGCGGGTGAACCTTCATCCGGGGGTGAACCTTCATCCGGGGGTGAACCTTCATCCGGGGGTGAACCTTCATCCGGGGGTGAACCTTCATCCAGGGGTGAACCTTAATCCGGGGGTGAACCTTCATCCGGGGGTGAACCTTCATCCGGGGGTGAACCTTAATCCGGGGGTGAACCTTCATCCGGGGGTGAACCTTCATCCGGGGGTGAACCTTCATCCGGGGGTGAACCTTCATCCGGGGGTGAACCTTCATCCGGGGGTGAACCTTCATCCAGGGGTGAACCTTAATCCGGGGGTGAACCTTCATCCGGGGGTGAACCTTCATCCGGGGGTGAACCTTAATCCGGGGGTGAACCTTCATCCGGGGGTGAACCTTCATCCGGGGGTGAACCTAAATCCTGGGGTGAACCTTCATCCGGGGGTGAACCTTCATCCGGGGGTGAACCTTCATCCGGGGGTGAACCTTCATCCGGGGGTGAACCTTAATCCGGGGGTGAACCTTCAACCGAGGGTGAACCTTCATCCGGGGGTGAACCTTCATCCGGGGGTGAACCTTCATCCGGGGGTGAACCTTCATCCGGGGGTGAACCTTCATCCGGGGGTGAACCTTAATCCGGGGGTGAACCTTCAACCGAGGGTGAACCTTCATCCGGGGGTGAACCTTCATCCGGGGGTGAACCTTCATCCGGGGGTGAACCTTCATCCGGGGGTGAACCTTCATCCGGGGGTGAACCTTCATCCAGGGGTGAACCTTCATCCGGGGGTGAACCTTCATCCAGGGGTGAACCTTAATCCGGGGGTGAACCTTCATCCGGGGGTGAACCTTCATCCGGGGGTGAACCTTCATCCAGGGGTGAACCTTAATCCGGGGGTGAACCTTCATCCGGGGGTGAACCTTCATCCGGGGGTGAACCTTCATCCAGGGGTGAACCTTCATCCGGGGGTGAACCTTCATCCAGGGGTGAACCTTCATCCGGGGGTGAACCTTCATCCAGGGGTGAACCTTCATCCGGGGGTGAACCTTCATCCGGGGGTGAACCTTAATCCGGGGGTGAACCTTCATCCGGGGGTGAACCTTAATCCGGGGGTGAACCTTCATCCGGGGGTGAACCTTCATCCAGGGGTGAACCTTCATCCGGGGGTGAACCTTCATCCGGGGGTGAACCTTCATCCGGGGGTGAACCTTCATCCGGGGGTGAACCTTAATCCGGGGGTGAACCTTCATCCGGGGGTGAACCTTAATCCGGGGGTGAACCTTAATCCGGGGGTGAACCTTAATCCGGGGGTGAACCTTCATCCGGGGGTGAACCTTAATCCGGGGGTGAACCTTCATCCGGGGGTGAACCTTCATCCAGGGGTGAACCTTCATCCGGGGGTGAACCTTCATCCGGGGGTGAACCTTCATCCGGGGGTGAACCTTAATCCGGGGGTGAACCTTCATCCGGGGGTGAACCTTCATCCAGGGGTGAACCTTCATCCGGGGGTGAACCTTCATCCGGGGGTGAACCTTCATCCGGGGGTGAACCTTCATCCAGGGGTGAACCTTCATCCGGGGGTGAACCTTCATCCAGGGGTGAACCTTCATCCAGGGGTGAACCTTCATCCGGGGGTGAACCTTCATCCAGGGGTGAACCTTAATCCGGGGGTGAACCTTCATCCGGGGGTGAACCTTCATCCGGGGGTGAACCTTCAACCGAGGGTGAACCTTCATCCGGGGGTGAACCTTCATCCGGGGGTGAACCTTCATCCGGGGGTGAACCTTCATCCGGGGGTGAACCTTAATCCGGGGGTGAACCTTCATCCGGGGGTGAACCTTAATCCGGGGGTGAACCTTCATCCGGGGGTGAACCTTCATCCGGGGGTGAACCTTCATCCGGGGGTGAACCTTCATCCGGGGGTGAACCTTCATCCAGGGGTGAACCTTCATCCGGGGGTGAACCTTCATCCGGGGGTGAACCTTCATCCGGGGGTGAACCTTCATCCGGGGGTGAACCTTCATCCGGGGGTGAACCTTCATCTGGGGGTGAACCTTCATCTGGGGGTGAACCTTCATCCAGGGGTGAACCTTCATCCGGGGGTGAACCTTCATCCGGGGGTGAACCTTCATCCGGGGGTGAACCTTCATCCGGGGGTGAACCTTCATCCGGGGGTGAACCTTCATCCGGGGGTGAACCTTCATCTGGGGGTGAACCTTCATCTGGGGGTGAACCTTCATCCGGGGGTGAACCTAAATCCGGGGGTGAACCTTCATCCGGGGGTGAACCTTCATCCGGGGGTGAACCTTCATCCGGGGGTAAACCTTCATCTGGGGGTGAACCTTAATCCGGGGGTGAACTGATCCGGGGGTGAACCTTAATCCGGGGTGAACCTTTATCTGGCGGTGAACCTTAATCCGGGGGGTGAATCTTCATCCGGGGTTGAACCTTCATCCGGGGGTGAACCTTCATCCGGGGGTGAACCTTCATCCGGGGGTGAACCTTCATCCGGGGTTGAACCTTCATCTGGGGGTGAACCTTCATCCGGGGGTGAACCTTCATTCGGGGGTGAACCTTCATCCGGGGGTGAACCTTCATCCCCCGGTGAACCTTCATCCGGGGGTGAACCTTCATCCGGGGGTGAACCTTCATCTGGGGGTGAACCTTCATCCGGGGGTGAACCTTAATCCGGGGGTGAACTGATCCGGGGGTGAACCTTCATCCGGGGGTGAACCTTCATTCGGGGGTGAACCTTCATCCGGGGGTGAACCTTCATCCGGGGGTGAACCTTCATCCCCCGGTGAACCTTCATCCGAGGGTGAACCTTCATTCGGGGGTGAACCTTAATCCGGGGGTGAACCTTCATCCGGGGGTGAACCTTCATCCGGGGGTGAACCTTAATCCGGGGGTGAACCTCATCCGAGAAGGGGCGGTGAATAGAGGGAGCAGATGGAGGGCAGAGAAGGGAAACGCAGTCTGATGCCATGCAGGCGAGGAAGCTGCACGGGTGGATGGCATGCAGGCAGAAGTGCGAGGGGATGAGAAAAGGGGCAATGGACAGAAGGAGCAGAAGAAGGGAAGGTGGCGCAGTGCTACGTCTAATGTCATGCAGGGAAGTGAGGGGAGCGGAGGAAATGTGGCAGGGAGGGAGGGTTGGAGTGAGGGAGAATGTAGTGAGAATTCTCCCCCTCGTTGAGAGTAGTAGACGGGCATGTGAGGAGCGAAGTGTGCTTGTTGTTTATGTTACTTTCCGTGGCACCATGTGAGCGGTGGTATCCCATCCCACGTTAACCAACTGTTGATGAAAGAATCCATGCGTTGATTTTTGGGCGTGCTGATGCATGGGTGAACAGTGCCACTCACAGGGGCACCATGTTGGCGAGGGCATGAGCGGCAGCATGCAGACTGGCACGGTAGTCACTCCCTGCTGCCTCCACTGCCGCCTTTGTCCCGCCCGCCACGCCCACCCACACTGCCTGCCCGCCCCACGCCCCCACAGATGCAACGCAGCCCCCCACAGCATGAGGAAACGCAGCATGCGCGTGAGACGGAGACGGTTTGAATGGCGAGCATGAGGAAATACAGGGACACGTGACCACCAGCGAATCACGTATCTGTCATCGTTACCACCAGGTGGTGTCATGTCAACTGACTCACCTGGGTGGCGTACGTTACATCTGGCAGTGTCATCTCAACCGTTTCAAACGGCTCTCCTGACCCGCGCCACATCTTGCGGTAACCAGTCCACCGAGTCGTCACCTCACACGGCGCTGTCTGTGCTGATGTCAGCACACTGCCTTTTGCCACGTGTGCTGACGTCATTGGCTCAGAGGCTGCTGCTGCATGTGCTGCTGAGGTCATCGCCTCGTTGAGCACTGTGTGTGCTGACATGATATCAGTAGGAGCTGAAGCAGGCTTTGCTGATGGCATGTGTGGGTATGGAAAAGCCTGCCGATTGAGAAGATAAAGGAGGCATGTCAATTCGATGGTGCTTGGTCTTCATAAAAAAGAATCTGCTGCCCATGTGCTCACCAGAGTGCCCCCCTTTATTGTCACAGTGACCATGTCAATCGTCTTGGTGTAATACCGCACATCCGCTCGCACACACCGTGCCTCCCGCTTCTCCAGATCCAGGGAAGTCACCAGGAAGGTTCGCCCCTGCTGCAGGTACACTGCACCCTCGTACAGCTGCACATGGGGGGATGGGGGAGAATGAATGTAAATGTGTGGCTAGGAGTGTGTGGCTGGGAGTGTGTCGGAGTGTGTGGCTGGGAGTGTGTGGCTGGAGGTATGCAGCATGCATAACGCAACAGCATAGGAGATGGAAAGAAAGCCCTTGCACTCTACTGGCGCCCGAGTCACACCACAGAGGAGTGGCGCCCGAGTCACACCACAGAGGAGTGGCGCCTGAGTCACACCACAGAGGAGTGGCGCCCGAGTCACACCACAGAGGAGTGGCGCCCGAGTCACACCACAGAGGAGTGGCGCCCGAGTCACACCACACCACAGAGGAGTGGCGTCCGAGTCACACCGCAGAGGAGCAGAGAGGAGGCGCCCCTTAGGCGCCTCTTAACAGGGGAGGCGCCTCTTAGAGGAGAGGAGTCTCTTAGAGGAGAGGATCCTCTTTGAGGAGAGGCGCCCCTTATAGGAGAGGCACCCCTTACAGCCGAGGCACCCCTTGTTAGTGTTAGCCTTCAATCTCACACTTTGTACTTTGTATTTTCTATATTCTAGAGTAGTGTAGTTTGCACATTGTGTTTGGTTGGGTGTACACCTACATCCCAACCAAACCCAAATGTAATCTCCAAACAATCTCCAACCCACCAATTGGAGATTGCCTTGGGATTACCCCCAATCCCTATGGATTGCCCCCGATTCCCTTCCCCATCCATTCCCTCCCCTTCTTGGATGTACTTAAAGAGCTTCAAGCTCATTACTAATATATCGCTTCTAAGCCTAAGTTATGAGATGGTATCAGAGCCCTTCAAACCACACACGCGGATCGTGATCCTCTTATCTCTGCGGATGTTCGTCCCGCAAATCTCGGCGTAACCGCCTTCAATCTCGTCGCCGTTGATTCGCGACATTCGTGGGCGGAAATTCTTCCGCACCACCTTCCCTTCACTCTCGACGGCATCTACTATCTCACTGGTAAGCGCATCGTCAGCGCTTTAACCTATCGCTCGTTTTCGTCGAACATCATCGCGTCATTCCTTCTCCTCGTCGGGCTGTCGCCCGTTGCCCTGCAGCTTCTCGTCGGGCCGCCGCCCGTCGCCCTGCAGCTTCACCTTCGGGCTGCCGCCCGTCGCTCCGCATCTGCACTCCTACCCCCATCCCCCTCCCTTTCCTGCAGCTGAACAGGTGCAGCAGCGCAGCCGAGCAGCAGCGCAGCCGAGCAGCAGCGTAGCCGCGAAGCCGAGCAGCCGTGTAGCCGCGAAGCCGAGCAGCAGCGCAGCCGAGAAGCTGAGGGTGGTGTGTGGGGGGGTGTGTGGGAATAGGATTAGTAGGTAGTTGACACTAAATTGGCGTTTCAGTCGAATTCTCCTTCAGAAACCCTAAACCTCAAATTTCTTTTTCGTAAACCCTAAACCTCCGGTTCTTCAAAATCTCCTTCGGAAACCCCAAACCTCAAGTTCCTATTGTTGACTCAAGAGCGGCGCTCCGCGCGACACCCTAAGGGGTCTCCATCATGGCATTCACCTCGTCCACCATGGCCAACCCCATCACCCCACTCCGTCTTGACGCCGATGGCTCTAGCTTCAACTTCAAGGCGTGGAGCTATGGGGTTGACAAGCACCTGCTGAGCCGTGACGTGCAGGGATTGGACTTCAAGGATGTCCTCCTCAACCGTGGCAAGGGAAAACAGCCCCTTCTCCCTCGCGAGCCGACCGAATCCGCTAGTGAGGCTGACACAAAGGCATATGAGGAAGCCGTTGAGAAGTACCGGAAGTGGGAGAAGGCCGATGCTGCAATTATCAGCGTCTTCATCGCCTCCACCCCTCCAGAACTTGTCAACACGTTCCATAACTACCCTACCTCCAACGCCATCTGGAAGTATCTCCAGGATCGGTTTATGAACAAGACTGCAGTCGGAGTTGCCATCCTCATCCCCAGCATGTTCCAGGTCCGCCTTGAGGATTGCTCAGGAATGGCCGACTACATTGCCAAGGTTCAGACCATTCATGGCGAACTCAAGGAGCTGGGTATAGTCTTCCCCGAACAGGCCCCTGCAGCAGCTCTTCTCGTTGGTCTCACCACAACCTATGAAATCACAAGGAAGATGCTCCTCACGCTGACTGCGGAAGACCTCACTTTTGCCAAGGTCTCCACCGCACTCCTCTCTGCCGAGAAAGACTCCACGGCTCAGGCCAAGGCTTACGCCATCCGTGCTCCCATGCCTCAAGCCAGTGTCGCATCGGCCCTTGCCTCGGCGCCCTTCCAGCGCAACCGCTTCCCACCGTGCACCTACGTCGTCAAGTATGGCAACCGCAAGGGACAAGTGTCTGGTGGCACTAACCACCCCCTTGCTACGTGCTTCAAGAAGAAGGACGACGAATGGTACGCCATCCACGGCATAGACAAGAGGCCACCGAACTGGATGCGTGCGCGTAAGGCCAACCTGGTTGAGGTCCAGGACCCCGCTTCGGCTAGTGCTAGTGATAGTGCTCCTGCTGATGCCCGTATCAACCTGTTGTTCCCTGGCACTGCCATGATTAATGAAGCTTCCTCCCAGTACCTCGGCTCATCACAAGCACCACAATACATAGAGTTCACACTCGACAGCGGCGCCACACACACTGTACTCAAGGAGACACTCTCCTTCAAACCCTACGCAATACCCATCCCTCTCCTAGGAGCTGACTCAAGCTTCACCACTCATGCCAAGGGTTCATCCACAGTCCCGTGCCCCGCCTTCCCTTCCGGCACTGTCACTGGAATGTGCGTACCTTCACTCCGCCACAATCTCGTGGCCTAAACGGAAATTCAGGAAGCTAGACTACGCACCATCTTCTGGGAGAACGAGAACTATGGTGATATCCTCGACCCACTCACCAACAAGGTCTTGACTCGTTTCACCCTCAACAGCAGCGGCCTTTACACGCTGCAAGTACCCATCCCACAGGTGTCAACCACCCAAACAGCGGCGACTACCTCACCATGCTCGTGCCGCAGTTTATCCAACCCGACCATACTCTACCACCATCGGCTCGGGCACCCAAACTTCCGCACACTTGCTGACATGGCCTCCAAGAAACTTCTACTCGGCCTGCCAGCCTCACTTCCTCCACCACCAGACTCCCCCGCTCCCACGTGCCTTGACTGCACCAAGAGCAAACTGCGTCAACAGCCCCACCCGGCCTCACCCTCTGTCGCAGCAGGACCACTGGACCTGGTACACCTGGACGTCTGGGGCCCTGCCCCTGTTCCCGCACGAGGTGGTTATCGCTACTTCCTTGTTATCGTCGATGACCACTCTCGCTACGTCTCTGTTCACCTCCTCCACACTAAGGCTGCGGTTCCAGAGGTCCTCATGGCGTGGGTTAAACAGGCACAGACCGCCTTTGACCGCAAAGTCAAGCGCCTCCACTCAGATGGTGGTGGTGAGTTTTGCAACGACAAGCTCAAAGCCTTCTGCTCTTCAGAAGGCATCCAGCAAAACTTCACCCTCCCTGACAGCCCGCAGCAGAACGGCATAGCTGAGAGCCGCAACCACACCCTGGTGCAGATCACTCGGTGCCTCCTCAGCCACTCCAACGCTCCACACTCTCTCTGGGGGTACGCTCTCTACCACGCCGCTTTCCTCTACAACCTTTACCCCCACCCGCATCTTCCCGACACCACTCCAACCACACTTTGGCTCGGGAAAACGCCCACTGCTCGCTCTCTTCGCGTTTGGGGGTGCACCGCCTATGTCCTCCTCAACCCTCAGGCTCGACGGCAGCACGGCGGCAAGCTCGGTCCCAAGACCCAGACATGCATCTACCTCGGACACAACGCCGACTCGCCTGACTACCTCTTCCTCAATCCCTCCACTCAGCAGTTGGTTCGGAGCCGCGACGTTGTCTTTGATAAGACCCGCCCATTCTACTCCACTTCGGGACGGGACCCTCTCCCTGACCCACCCTCCCTCGTGTGGGCAGACTTTGATGCGCCTCCTGACCTCTCGCCTGCTCCGGCCCCTTCACCCCCTACCCCTCCTGCCACCGCACCGTCCCCCTCTGCGGTCTCTGACCCGCTCTCACCGGTGTCTTCGGCAGCTGCTCCTCCATCCCCCTCACTTCCCACTCCGCCGACTGTGCAGCCACCTCCGAGCGCACCTATCACCTACCATCGGCGGTCCCACCCTCCGGCCCCACCTCCTCCCCCGGTTCCCCCCACCACAGAGGAACCCACTCTCCCACAGTCGCCCGAGCTGATCACGTACCACCGGCGGCCCATTCCCCCGCCCAAGCCTCCTAAGTCAACCCCTCCGACACCGCCTGCCCCACCCTCTTCTCCGGTGGCTCATGGCACTCGTTCGCATGGCGCGGCTCTTCCACTAGCGCTGGTTCTTCGATACACGGCGATCACACCGCCTCCTCCTGCTGGGGGGGATGTGCCCTCTACCCTTCTGGAAGACAGGCATGAGGAGCTGTGTGATCTTCATGCAGTCATTCCTCAGCTCTCGCACATCTTCCCCGACATCACTGACTCACCCTCCCTCAACTTCGCGGAGAACCCGACCATCCCTATCCCTCTCACCGTCCAAGAGGCTCTCTCAGGCCCTCATGCTGCCGAATGGCGTGCTGCCATGGAAGCGGAGATTGCAGCATTCGCCCGCAACCACTCCTTCGACGACGAGACACCACCTCCAGGAGTCAACATCGTCGGGGGCAAGTGGTTGTTCCGTGTAAAACAGCTCCCAGACGAGGCCCCGGTGTTCAAAGCGCGTTACGTAGCCAAGGGCTTCACCCAGCAGCAGTACCGCGACTTCTTCCTAACCTTCTCCCCCACATCCAAACCTCCCACCATTCGTACGCTCATGGATGTCGCAGCTCGAGAAGACTTTGAGATCAAATCCATGGATGCCTCATCCGCCTTCCTACAAGGACGTCTCAAGGAGACGGTGTTCATGGACAGACCAGAAGGCTTCCCAGGAGAATTCCCTCCCAACACTGTCTGGAAGCTGAATCGCCCCGTCTACGGCCTTAAGCAAGCCCCTCGCGAATGGCACAACAAGGTGAAAGAAGTCCTCCTCTCCCTGGACTTCCACCCTTCAACTGCTGACCCGACTCTCTTCATCCGCCGTCACTCTGAGCCATTCTACATCCTGGTCTACGTGGATGATTTCATCCTCGTTGCCAAGGACTCGGCCCAGATGACCTCTGTCCAGGCAGCCCTGAGCAAGGCTCTCCAGATGAAAGACCTCGGTGACCTCAAGCACTACCTGGGGATGGAGATCACTCGTGATCGACAGGCTCGCACCATTTCACTCTCCCAGGAGTTCTACATCGACAATGTGCTCAAGCGGTTTGAGATGGAGCTGTGCACACCTGTTGCCACCCCGCTGCCGCTGCAACACCTCCTCACTGCTCCAGCTGTACCCACACCAGAGGCCTGCTCTGAGCCATACCCGGAGCTTGTTGGGTCCCTCATGTACGCCATGATGTGCACCCGACCGGACTTGGCCTATCCTGTCAGTGTCCTCTCTCGCTACGTGGCCCCTGGACGCTTCACTGATCTTCACTGGAAGGCGGCGAAGCGGGTGCTGCGCTATCTTCAGGGTACCAAGTCTCACGTTCTCACACTCGGTAGGCTCTCCCCTCCTCGCCTGGAAGGTTACACCGACTCCTCCTGGGTTGATGACCAGACCGACCGACGCTCCTCTCAGGGGTACTGCTTCACCCTTGGGAGCGGAATTGTCAGTTGGCGCTCCACCAGGTCGTCTGCAGTCTCCCTCTCCTCCTGTGAGGCAGAGCTCTACGCAGACACCATGGCTGCTCAGGAGGCCCGTTGGCTCACCTTCCTACTCCAGGAGCTTGGTTTCCCACAGTCCACCCCCACCCTCTGGTGTGACAACCAGAGTACCATCCACATCTCTCAAGACCCTGTGTATCACACACGCACCAAGCATATTGAACTTCGGCACTTCTTCATCCGTGACCTTGTCCAACAGGAGCAGCTGAAAGTGGAATACGTTGCATCTGACTGCAACCTGGCTGATCTGTTCACCAAGCCCCTTGGGAAAGTTCCCCACCACCGTCTCCTAGGCGCCATGGGGCTCTGTGCACCACCCTCTCTACCATGAGTTCGATTGACGCCTATGGAGGGGTGTTAGTGTTAGCCTTCAATCTCACACTTTGTACTTTGTATTTTCTATATCCTAGAGTAGTGTAGTTTGCACATTGTGTTTGGTTGGTTGTACACCTACATCCCAACCAAACCCAAATGTAATCTCCAAGCAATCTCCAACCCACCAATTGGAGATTGCCTTGGGATTACCCCCAATCCCTATGGATTGCCCCCGATTCCCTTCCCCATCCATTCCCTCCCCTTCTTGGATGTACTTAAAGAGCTTCAAGCTCATTACTAATGTATCGCTTCTAAGCCTAAGTTATGAGACCCCTTAGAGGAGAGGCGCCCCTTACAGGAGAGGTGCCCCTTAGAGAGAGAAGCGAGGGGAGTGGAGGAAGCGAGGTGGGAGAGGAGGGCTGGATGGCCTTTAGGAGAAGGAAGCGTGGGGAGTGGAGGAGGCGAGATGGGAGAGGAGGGCTGTATGGCCCTTAGGAGGAGGAAGCGTGGGGAGTGGAGGAGGCGAGATGGGAGAGGAGGGCTGGATGGCCCTTAGGAGGAGGAAGCGTGGGGAGTGGAGGAAGCGAGGTGGGAGAGGAGGGCTGGATGGCCCTTAGGAGGAGGAAGCATGGGGAGTGGAGGAAGCGAGGTGGGAGAGGAGGGCTGGATGGCCCTTGGGCGGAGGAAGCGAGGGGAGTGGAGGAAGCGAGGTGGGAGAGGAGGGCTGGATGGCCCTTAGGAGGAGGAAGCGTGGGGAGCGGAGGAAGCGAGGTGGGAGAGGAGGGCTGGATGGCCCTTGGGTGGAGGAATCGAGGGGAGTGGAGGGAAGAGAGGTGGGAGAGGAGGGCTGGGTGGCCTTTAGGAGGAGGAAGCGAGGGGAGTGGAGGGAAGCGAGGAGGGAGAGGAGGGCTGGATGGCCCTTAGGAGGAGGAAGCGAGGGGAGTGGGGAAAGCGAGGTGGGAGAGGAGGGCTGGATGGCCCTTAAAGGAGAGGAGCCCCTTAGAGGAGAGGCGCCCCTTAGAGGAGAGGCGCCCATTAGAGAAGAGGCATGGTCCAGGGGCTAGCAGGAGAAGATGAGGAAATGGTGAAAATGAGATCCATGGGTTAAAGTCCATATTTTGTTCTTATAAGCAATGCCTACTCGAGTAAAGGGGCGCACCTTAGTGGGAAAGAGGTAGAGGGCGGTGGCGTGGGGGTGGGAGAGCAGCGTGTGGAGGACCGGCACATTGTAGCACAGCGACTTGCCACTCGCTGTTGCCGTCGCAATGGTTGCATGCCGCCCGGCCAGTGCCGCGCCAATAGCCTTCACCTGCAGAGCAAAGCAGGGAATCAACCAAAGATAAAGGACATGGATCGGTAAGGCCTCACCAAACAAGAATGTTTGTTGGTCATCTCTCTGAAGAGAAAGGGGTAAAAGAGGCAATGGAAGGCACAAGCCACATGTGCTTACCTAATGGGCTCGGGAAGGCATGAGCCACGAGTGCTTACCTGATGGGAATAGAGCTGGGAGACGCCCGCACGAGCCAAGGCGTGCCACGTGGCAGGGCATAACTGGCTGGCCAGCTTGCCATAGCGCGGTTTCCTCTGTGGCAGCTCCTCGCAGTGCACCACCTGATGGGGGCGGGATGGAAGCAGGGTCGTAGGAAAGTGGGGTGACAATGTCTTAGGGAGGTAGGGAAGCAGGGTGACAGGGAGGCATGGAGGTAGGGAAGCAGGGTGACAGGGAGGCATGGAGGTAGGGAAGCAGGGTGACAGGGAGGCATGAGGTAGGGAAGCAGAGCGACAGGGAGTAAGGGAGGTAAGGAGGCAGAGCGACAGGGAGTAAGGGAGGTAAGGAGGCAGAGCGACAGGGAGTAAGGGAGGTAAGGAGGCAGAGCGACAGGGAGTAAGGGAGGTAAGGAGGCAGAGCGACAGGGAGTAAGGGAGGTAAGGAGGCAGAGCGACAGGGAGTAAGGGAGGTAAGGAGGCAGAGCGACAGGGAGTTTAGGGAAGTGGGCGAGTGGAGCAGGGAGGGGGGTGTGTTGGGCAGGGGAGTGTGCATATCAGAGGAATAACGAGGCATGTGGGTGTCAAGAAATGGAGAAACGCATCAGCCAGGCTTCTTTTTCACCCACTAGCCACATATCCACCTGCCCAAGCAACCCTCCCTCCCTTGCAGCAACCCCCCACCCTCCGCCACATCCCCCACGCACCTGCCCTAGTGATCCCAATCCCTGCTTGAGATGCTCCAGCAGCTGCGGTGCACTCATAGTCTCCGTGCTCTGATGCCCGGCGCAGCAGAGGGAGGGAGATGCGGGGGGAATGCGGACAGACAACGGAGTTACAGGAGAGGGAGAAGCAAGGGTGTGAGGGGGAAAGGGGAGAGGGACGACGAATCCTAAGCTGGGTTGGTTTGGCAAGAATCAAGCAGTGAGTCAGTCACATGGCAGCACTCACGTCACAGCAGCACTCACATTGCAAGGAGGCACTTTCTTGAGTTGCCTGGGAGGACAAGGAGGTGTGTATCGCTGCGACCCAATGCCTGCCTCTTCCCACCACTCATCGTCACCACAACCAGCACCACCATCACAGCCTCCCTTCTTCCCATCCTTCTCTGCCCCGTCCCCATCCTCCACTGCACCTTCCTCCACCTCTCCAGTCTTATCAGACTCATCCCCAGCCGCCCCTCCTTTCCTCCGCTGCTTGCTCTGCCTCCCAATACATGACTTCCTCTGCTGTTTCGCCTTCCCTCCCTTTCCACCACCCCCCAGCTCAGCATGTGTATGATTATCAGTATACTGAGAGGAATGGAACGAGGCCGCTTCAGCAAGCAGCATCGACACTGAGATGTCTTCGAACGGAAAGTCAGCATGCCATTCCATGCTGTCCGCACTTTGCTTCACACCAGTACGCCCCTGCTTCTTCGCTTCTTCCCCCTTCCCTCCACCTCTCTCTTCCACAACATCTCCCGCTGTTTTAAGGCGCCTCTTTCCCTTCATCCTTCTCTCTCTCTGCACTGTACTGCCCGCATCCTCGTCCCCATCCTCATCCTTGTCCTCGCCCTCCCCCGGCACCGCCTCGCTCCCCACCTTCCCTGCACCAGCTGCCCCGTGTTGGCTCTCCTCTCCTCGCAAGCCCTGGCCAGAAGCCGCGGCCACAGGAGAGGCCGAACGGCGCGACTGTGGCACAGATGGGTGGGTTTGCGATGCGGGATGCGACTGAGGTGCAGGAGGGAGAACGTGAGCGAGGAAGTCAGCGTGAATGCGGTGGAGGGCTGCAGTGAGTGCCGAGTGGAAGGCGGCTCTCCTCTTGTCTGCCAGCCTGACAGCACTGCGACGCGGCGTGCGTTGCTGTGTGCCTGGAGGGAAAATTGCGGGATGGGAAAGTGACAGAGGCGCAGGAGGGAGAACGTGGGCGAGGAAGTCAGCGTGAATGCGGTGGAGGGCTGCAGTGAGTGCCGAGTGGAAGGCGGCTCTCCTCTTGTCTGCGAGCCTCACACCACTGCGACGCGGCGTTCGCTGCTGTGTGCCTGGAGGAAAAAAGGGGACGATGGGGACTGAAATGCAGCGAGTCCACACAACACAAGCAAGAAGAAAACACACCATAGGTGGATTTTACTTTTGAGAATTCTCATTAGTAAAATCCACATAAATGGGGGACGATGGGGACTGAAAAGCAGCGAGTCCACACAACACAAGCGAGAAGAAAAAGAAACAACTTTCCAGCACGCACCTTGCAGCAGCATGCCTCCCCGCTTGATCTTCTGCTCTGGCGGTCGAGACGGGTCCCACATGCCCACCACCACAACCAGCGCACCTCCATCTCCTCTCCCCTTCTCCCCTCCCGTTACAGGTGCTTTCCCCCATCTCCTTCTCTGATCTTCTCGCCCCTCGTCAACTCCGCCCTCCTCCCGTTTTCCACCCTGTCTTCCCCTTCCTCCTCGGTCCCTTTCATCTCTGCAGCTGCCAGCTCCCTTCTCCCGCGCATGACTTGAACACCCTTCACTCCCCTCACTCCCCTCACTCACTTCCTCCCCATCACTCCCTCTTCCTGCCTCCACTGGCTCAACCTTTCCCCCCACTTTCCCTTCCTCGTCCTCCTCCTCGTCTTCCTCTTCCCACGTCCAAATCACCGAAGGGGCCAGTGCTGCCATGTCCCTGATGTCCTGCCATGACCGTCAGGCAGTCGCACATGCAAGGCACAGACAAACAGACGCAACAACACACGCACTCATCCACCTAGCACATGAGCCTGCCACTTGACCACAAGAGACACAATCAGGAGCAATCACCCTTAGCGCACAGTCACACGTGTATAGAGAACTGCCACTCAATCACTAGCTCACTCATTCACTCACTCGCTCACTCCCTCACTCACTCACTGCTTCATTCATTCCCTCATTCACTCGCCCGCTCACTCACTAACTCACTTGCAGAGCAACGGCTTCGCCCTCGGCGCTGCTCCCAAGGTCCTTCAATGCGACCTCCAGCCGCTTCCACGTGGCCTGGAGTTATGACAGGGGCACAGGAATGGTGAGACGGGAGTGACCATGACAACAGTCAAAGGATCTCCTGGGTCAGGAAAAGCACATGGCATGGCAGTCAAATGCAGCAGAAATGCTAAGCTAACAATTCATTCTTCAAGAAGCACACACACACCTTGACTGCCCACTGCTCCAAGAAACCATACACTGCAGCCAGCAGTCCAAAATTGCAGTCCAGCATGGGAACGCTGACTCACACACAATGACTGAGACACACACTGACTGACACACACACAAGTACACACCTTGACTGTCCGCTGTTCCAAGAACCCGTACACTGCAGCGAGCAGCCCAAACTTGCTGTCCAATACGGAAACGCTGTGAGGCAACCCCGCCCTGCCTGCTGCCTGCTCTTCCTCCCTCTCTGCCTTTCTCTTCCGCCCCACTCGCCTCTCCACCTTACTCCCCATACCGCCCTTCTCCATGTCATTATCAACCCCCATGCTTGACCCATCCATGAGGTCAGTACCACCATTCCCTTTGTCCATACGTCCATTCTTTGTGTTAATAGTACCATCCCTTACGTCAGTAACGCCATTCCCAATGCCTGCACGGGTTGCTGTATGCCCCACTGTCCCTATGCCTTGTTGTCTCCCACTGCTAGCATGCTCCCCACAATCCCTTGCCACCGTACCCTTGGCCACGTCAGTGCTAGGTGAACCGAGCTGACGTGTACGAGCAGCATGGAAGGGCAGGTAGCGAGGAGGGGAGGCGGGCCAGATTGGTGCTGCAGGGGTTGGTAATGCTGCTGGTGATGGCGGCAGTCGTGGCAATTCTGGCAATGGTGGCGGTGCTGCTGGCGCTGGTGGCGATGCTGATGGCCGTCCCAGCACTGGTACTCCCTCCGGTGGAGGAGATGGTGGGGCCGACGCCGAACGAGCGGATGCCAGACCTTCTCTGCTGCAGGCTGCACCCGACAGAAGATAATCCTTCATCGTCTGACTGCCATTATCAATCTCAGTAGACTCAGTCCGCCGCACCCCGCCATCCTTCCTTGGTGCAGTCGGTTCAGGAGGGTTGCTACTGACCCGCTGCTCCACCACATCTACTGCACATCCCTTGTTTGCAGCAACAGCGTTACTCTGAGCTCTGCCATTTGGAGAAAATCGCTGATTAGATGGAATAATGCAAGGAGGTGGGGGATGAGCAGATGGCGAAAACGGGATAGAATTCGGAAGGCGAGGAGACCCAACGGCTGTGCCGGTGCCACGTGGACCAGTCAATGACGTGGCAGCAGCGGCACAGCGCGGCGTTCCCCCGTGCTGCGACGACAGCACAGGACCCATCTGGCGCTGCTCCTTGCGCTGAAAGCTCATCAGAACCAGGAAAGCGTCTGCGGGTGCAGACTCAGAGCCACAGACTTTGGGGTCAGCGCCAGAAGAAGCATGAGGCTCGCCATGGAAACCGCCATTCATGGGGGTGGAGCTGCCAGCACGGATAGATGGGGTCCCTGGCGTCAAAGCGCTGGCAGATGCTGACGTGGCAGATCCAGGCTGGAGGAGGCCGGGAATGTCGACCAATCGGGTGGAGTCCTTGAGGCGAGATCCCTGCAAGAGGGGTGAATAAGGTTAGAGAAACCAGTGAAAACGGTGGAAAGGTGAACAATGAAGGCAAGCCATGCAGCCAGGACAGCATGTGACGCATCGAGATCAACATTGCCGGTGAAGAACCCCCAAAGATAATGGTAAAAAACAAAAGAAAACGTCGATCTGGCTGTACTAGTATACTACACGGTAAATGGTCGAAACACTAAAGCAGCAGGGAAATAGAACGGCATCAATAGGACCTACTTTATGGAAGATGGCATGTTTAAGGGACGCGTCCTTGTTCGTTGCTCCAGCAGCGACTCGCTTCGCATCGCCCACTCGCATGTCGCACGTCGCCTCCAATGTCACGTGCGACCCGGTCAGATCCCTCACTACCACGCATGATCGCCCAGGTCGATTCATGGAGGCTGACGTGGCAGCACCAGGGTCTTCGATCCGCTCGCGTCCTGCCATGTCAGCTTACTTGCAGAGTGGTTCGGGCGATTAGACTATCCCAGCTCTACTCTCTTACTCATTAAGACCGGTAAGACGGCATTCACTCCGTTGAGCTTGCGAACAACCTGATTCAGGACCTAGAAAAAACCAGGATTGTTGATTCAGGCTTGTGACCCAGCAAACGGGTTTCGCAAACAGGTAATGGATTTTCTAGAATTCGAAATAAGCAACCTTGAAATCCGACGCACACGCAGAGCTCCGACGATGCGTGGATGTGCCTGAGATTATGCTTCCTAGGAAGGCAATGGCTGTAACTCCATGAAAACGCTGAACGATGGGATTCTTATGCAAATGCAGGACCCTGTAAATCATGCTCTCAGGCTTGAAATTCTAGAACGCCGTAGCGAACATGTTGGTTTGGGACGACGAGAATGCTGGCGTGGGCTTCATGAACTAGAATCTAGGTCGACAGTGAGTGCAGGAGTTGAACTATGGGAGAGCTGAACTCGGGCTCAGGTGAGGAACACTGCGAAATCTGTCAGACTGTCACACTGGGAAGAGCTCCCGGCTGCGTCACGATTACGCTGACAGTTCGTACTGTAGCCTGCCTCCAGGAATGTCCAGGATTCGTTCGCATTAAAGTTTACCTCGATTGAGCGAAAACTTAAATTGTGGAAAACCAGTACCGATACAGCTATTCGTACTCGTTTCCTTATTTCTAAAGAGGGTGAAGCATATCACCGAATTAAAATCATCCTAGCGTAATGTTAAATAACTCAGAACAACATTTGGCACACTTATCGATCATAAAGAAAAGTCCATCGTATTTACTCGGTATATCTTCACCACCTTTCACATTGCACTCAGAAGTCCAATTCTTCATGCTTCCTTCTGGGCAACAGCCGGGTACTTGCTTTGCACATCCGTCCAAACCAGCAGCCCATCCGCCAGCTGGCGCACCACCGATGCCACCTCATCCTTGTGAATGCGCACCTGCGCTGTACTGTCACGCTCCCGTAGAGTCACGGTGCCATCCTCCAGAGTCTGCCATTCACGACGTGGGGAAAATGAAAAGCAAACAGGAGAAATGGTGAGACAAAACAAAACCAAGACAAAATGGAGATTTATGGAGACAAAATGCAACCAATACCCCTCTTCCCCACCCACCAAACACTCCATCCTTGCCCCCACCCTCCTCACCTGCCCATCCACCGTAATCGCAAACGGGCACCCGAGCTCATCCGTCCGTGCGTATCTCTTCCCAATCGTCGTGCCCGTGGTGTCAATCTTATTCGCCACGCCTCCCTTGGTCAGCCCTGCACTCGCCTCCTGCGCCACCTTCTCAAGGTCCCCGCGCTGCACGAGCGGGAAGACGGTGCACTTGATGGGCGCCACGAGCGGTGTGAAGCGAAAGACTGTGCGCGCCTCGTCGGCGGAGGGGCGGGAGTAGAAGCTGTGCTCGTAGATGCAGTAGATGATGCGCCCTATGCCAAACGACGGCTCGATTACGGATGGGGTGAAGGATTGGCCCTGGAAAGTTGGGGAGAAGGAGAGCGGGATGGGGAGGGGGAAAGGTGAGGGAGAGGGAGGAAGGGGGAGAGGGTGGAGGGGACGGTGGGAAGGAAGAGCGGGGTAGGTTGTGGTGAGGCAGGAGTACAGATTGAGGCGGAATTGCGTGAGAAAGTTTCAGGCAGAGCAGGGAGGGAGGACTCTTGAAAAAAGGAGAAGGAAAAAAACCCAAGCTGCTCTCATCTACTCATCTCCTCATCACTCCCTTCACCCCACCCCACCTGCAGCTTCTTCTTCTCCTTGCTGATGGCCACCATCTCCTTGCTGAGGCTGAACGCCTGTGGCCCCCCGCCCACATGGTGCGTACTCCACCTCATACCCCACTCCCCTGCACCACGTTCCTCTCATGCCCTTCATCCCACCTGCAGCTTCTTCTTCTCCTTGCTGATGGCCACCATCTCCTTGCTGAGGCTGAACGCCTGGCTGCCCCCACACGGAGTGTACTCCACCTTGCCATCCGCCTCCAGCGCTGCCTTCATCGCCAGTGCCTCTGCTTCCGTCATTGCCTCCAGCGACTCAGCAATGAGCTTGGCATCGCGCTTGAAGGCCTTACCAATGTCCTTCTTGCTGGGCACGATGCTCATCACCTCCACCTCGCGTGGCTCGGGGAACTTCTCATACGCCACCAGCTCCACCTTGCTCTTCTCCTGTTCACGTGCGTCAATGGCAGGGGGAAGGAGGAAAGTGAGGATGGGCAGTGGTGACTTGATGACATATTTGACCTCCACCTCCCTGGGCTCTGGGAACTTCTCATACGCCACCAGCTCCACCTTGCTCTTCTCCAGTTGGTGAGAGTGAGCAGGAGGGGGGGAGACGAAGTTTTCTAAGAGTGTGGGGAAAAACAGGGAAGCAGAGAAATGGACGGTGTTACTCCCTTACTGTGTTCCACCAACAGCCACACCTGTGCTATCAACCCTCGCCATGTAAGCTCACTGCATTCCAAAGCCGTACCGTGTGCGCCTTGAGGTCGAACGCAGACCTACCGCCAGACGATCGCACTCCACCCACATATAAAGGGCATTAGATCTCAGCATCCCAGCAGTCCGTGGCATCTCGTGCTGCAGGTGCTGGCGGTGCTGCCTGTGCTGCTAGGGGCGCTGCAGGTGCAACAGCTGCCCGACTAACCTGCATCAACAGCCCGCTCTCGTGCTGCTTTCAACTCTCAACCCTCACCGTGTGCGCCTTGAGGTCGAAGGCGGAGCGGTCAGCCAGACCAACGCACTCCACCCATCCATAAGAGCATTCAGTCTCAGCATCCCGTGCTGCAGGTGCTGCAGGCAGGTGCTGCCAGAGCTGAAGCAAACCTACTCACCGTGTGCGCCTTAAGATCGAAGGCAGAGCGATCTGCCAGACCAACGCACTCCACCCAGCCGTACGAGCATTCGATCTCAGCATCCCAGCAGTCCGTGGCGTAGTGCGCCATCTCGTGCTGCAGGTGCTGGCGGAAGCGCAGGCGCTGCGGGTCGATGCCCAGGCGCGAGAGGAAGAGGAACGTGCGCCCGATGAAGTACCCGAGAGTCTCGTTGTTGATTATGCCCTGATAACAGATAGTGGGGAGCAGGGGAATTGGGGGTTGAGACAGGAGGTTGAAGATTGCCAGTCTGGAGGAGAAATAGGAAGAGGAACGTGGGTGTAGGTGGTATGCCCGCAATAAGCTGCCGTATACTGTTTTCCTTTCCTGCCATCGAGTGGGCAGCATCCCCAAGCGAGACGACAAGGCGTTTCTCCTCTCCACACCGCCTCAACGGCTTTCCCCTCAACAGCATTTTCCTAGTCGCATCGTAATGGCCTATTTCGGCCCAAGCTAATCCGCTCGCAGTCTGAGTTTCGTACCTTCTCCACAGCATCCCCGAGCCGCATGGTGACGGGCTGTTTGGGTCCCAGCTGCTCCGCGCGTGGGTAGAGCAGGAAGGAGAGGTCGGCCACCGAGGAGAAGCGCGGGTGCGACTTGTCGGCGGGGCTCACAAAGTGCTCGATCTCCGCTAGCGTGAACTCGCGCACTCGCAGCAGCCCAGCTCGGGGAGCAATCTGGAGAGATGCAAGCAAGGGTTGGGGGCAAGAAGGGAGGGGAGTTTCGACTTTGTCAACGGGGCTCACAAAGTGATCTCTGCTAGCGTGAACTCAGGCACTCGCAGCAGACTCGCTCTGGGGGCGATCTGGGGGAGCAGTGGGGTTGGGGATGAGTGGTGCAAGGAAGGGGACGGGGTGCGATAAGGGAGGGACTTGTCCGTGGGGCTCACGAAGCGCTCGATCTCTGCTAGCGTGAACTCACGCACTCGCAGCAGCCCCGCTCTGGGGGCGATCTGTGGGGACGTGTGCGGGGGGGTTGGGATGGGGAAGGTTGGTACAAGGAACGAGAGGTGCGCAAAGGCGTTGAAATGGCAGGCGGGATTCGTTCATGGGGCTCACATCACAATGACAGCAGCCCTGCTCACGCCCCAATCACAACAGCGCACCACATCTCCCGGCGACGCACGACACCCCCCAGTACCGCACTACATCCCCCCGCACCACACCCACCAGCATCACACCCGCCAGCATCACACCCGCCAGCAGCGCACCTCGTTGCGGAAGGCCTGGCCGATCTGAGCAGCAGCGAAGGGCAGCTTGCCACCGTTGTAGTACAGCAGATCCTTGAAGTTGACGAATATGCCCTGCGCTGTCTCGGGCCGCAGGTAGCTGAGGGGGATGGGGGAAGGGGATGGGGAGAGGGATGGAGTGGGAGAGCAGTCAAGTCAATGCGGAATGAGGGCCGTTGTAGTACAGCAATTCCTTGAAGTTGACGAATATGCCCTGCGCTGTTTCAGGACGGAGGTAGCTGGTGGGATCGGTGGAGAGTGGGGGAGTGGGGGGCGGGGAGATGGGGAGAGTGGGGGAGTGGGGGGGGGGAAGATGGGGAGAGTGGGGGAGCAGCGAAGGGCAGCTTGCCACCGTTGTAGTAAAGCAGGTCCTTGAAGGTGACGAATATGCCCTGCGCTGTCTCGGGACGCAGGTAGCTGGTGGGGAGGAGCAAGAGAGGGGGAAGAAAGGATAAGAGAGAGTCAAGTTTGGAGCATGAAATGTGAGCACCTGACGTCGAACACTCCATAGTGCCAACCATTCACATGTCAGCCCCGCTCAGCCTCTCACGCACCCGTGCAACAACCCCGTGGGGCCAATAGCGGTGGAAAACATGAGGTTGAATGGGTATGGAGCAGACAGGTCGTTCTTCGTGTCCGGCGCCTTCACGCCGAACTCCTTCAACTTCCCGTCCAACTCCTCTGCACCGTACTCGTCCAGCACGGCCAGCACGTGCTTGATCTCCTCGCGCCGCTCAGGCGCCATGGTCACCTCCTTCTCTAGCAGCTCCCCGAGGTGGTCTTTCAGCAGGTGGTCCGCGCGGTAGCACGCCTGCGTCTTCACGTCCTTCACCATGAGGTCGGTAAATTTGTCCACGTGGCCTGATGCTCGCAGGACTGCGTCGGGGGTGACGCACGGGCAGTCCACTTCGAGCATATTTTCTTCCAGGACGAAGTGCTGGCAGACGGAAGGGGTCGGCGGGGTGGGGGGGAGGGGGGCGGCGGGTTAAGGGAGAGGGAGAGAGAGGAGGGGGGTTGGAAAGAGGTGGTCCGCGCGGTAGCACGCCTGCGTCTTCACGTCCTTCACCATGAGGTCCGCGAACTTGGCCACGTGGCCTGACGCACGGAGGACAGCGTCGGGGGTGACGCATGGGCAGTCCACTTCAAGCATAGTATCTTCCAGGACGAAGTGCTGAGGGGAAGGGGTTGGGGGGACGGTTGTGACCAAAGAGGACGAGCGGGGACGGATGATGGCGAGAAGAGAGCATCAGCGTTTACGGCAGGCGTGGAGGGGACGCTGGAAAGGTACACATGGAGAAGTGACTGCGCGGTTGAGGGTTTATGCCTGACACGTGCGTTACCCGTGCCAGACATTTGAACACGCGCAGATCGACACGCGCAGGAGCGAAAGCAAGCGTCGTCGGCGACCATTTTAATCACATCGTTCATCATTCATGAAAGGAGGATCACTCATGCGAGATCAGCCGTGAGTCGCGGTCGCTGACGTGCTCCTTGGGAAGAAATCCATGTGACCGTTTCAGAAACCCATTTTCACTAGATCACGCCTGTGCTGGATCGCACCTGTCTCAGATCACACCTCTCGGGTCGCAACCGCCTCAAATCACCCCTCGCAGGTAACACCTGTCTGAGATCACACCTCTCAAATCGCATTGTCTCAGATCCCACCTGCCTCAGACCCCACCTGGCGCCAGAAGGCGAGCACGTTCGACTTGACGGCGCAGCCGGGCGGGCCGTAGTCGAACAGCCCAGCCACGCCGCCATAGATCTTGAAGCTCGGAATGATGAACAGCCGCCGCTCCAACGCGTTGTTCACGGCCTGCCGAAACGCCTCCCGATTGATGCTCGCATCCTTCCCCTTCCCTCCTCCCTCCGCCTCCGACTTTGCCGTGAACGTTTTGGTTGCCGACTCGAGGTCGATCTTTAAGTGCTTGAGCTTTTCGATCGCCGCGTCGATCTCGGCGCGATCGGCTTTCGCGGCTTTTAGGGCTCGCACGGTGTCGCCTTGAGTGGTAACCTCCTCTTGTTTCGCAACGACGGCTTGCCGTAAAGCCTCGAGCTCATCGCTGGGAGCCATGGTCACTAGACTTGGCGATTGTGCTTAACACTACTTGCAAAGCAGAAAATCTAATGTACTAACATAATATTTCAAATTATCAAAAATCCACATTAACACGTGTCAGGATGGCCGAGTTGGTCTAAGGCGCCAGTTTCAGGTATTGGTCCGGAAGGGTATGGGTTCGAATCCTATTCCTAACAACAATTTTCCATTTCTCCCACACGACAGCCCTTTTCATACAACATCCCTCTCCTACGTGACAAAACAGCAACTACTGAGATTTTTTCTGGGTTGTTTCAATTCTTCTTATTGGCGATAACGAGATGCTAGGAAAGTAGAAGATACCGCTCAGGCAGTATGTGTGGCATGCCTTTCCCTGTGCCTCTAGCATTTATGTTCTCACACCATTGCGCTCTTGAAAGGAGATGCTGCAGGACTGAACAAGCTTCCCATGGACAAGTGGCTCTATTTTCTTTCAACTTTCGGGACCTTGTGTTCAGAAATTTTCAGAAGGTGCCTTTGATAAACAAGTACATGGTTTCAAAAAGCGTAGATGGTCTTGAAAAGGTACGCATGCGAAACCGTACCGAGTCACGTTACAGCGAGAGACCACCGAAAGCTTTCAAACTTGGAGGTTTTGGCGACAAACTTCGGCTCAATCAGCCCACGAGCATGTCATAAAGCTTCCGCGCCAACAAAGTCGCCGAACAGGGCTGTCGCTTGGTCTGGGCCCAAACCTTACGAAGCTGAGCTGGCCCGAAACAAGCCCTGAAACATCCGGACAGCACTCGAATCTAGCCCTTAAATTCAGGCCATTTGGATTCCCGCCCTGAGCCACATGCGCCAGAAAGCTAAGTAATTCTAGGTACGTACTCTACCGATCAGAGCACGCTGTTGTGGGTGAGAAGAAAGGGTTGGGAGGAAGAGGGGAGGGGAGAGCAGGTACACGGGAAATCCGGGGAGGCTCCAAACCCATTATTTGGGAATACGGGCCAGGAAAAAACCAGCCCTGAAAATCTCTGAGCTGAGTTGAAACGAACCCTGAATTCTCAGGGAAAACGGGCAAATGCCTGTAAATCGACAGGCCTACCGCCGAACTCTCGCCATGCCATTCCATGCCATCCCCTTGTAGAGGGACGACTGCTGCTTTGCTCTCCTTGAGTCACGGAACCCCCAAGGCAGTCCCAAAACTTTCCTCTCAAGTCATCCATGAATGCGAATCACTAGACCTGGTAGTTCTCCTAGGTAGACATGGTAGGAAGATTAGTCCTCTCTGTTGCCGATTTCGTCTCTTAGCTTATGCAACAGTACGGCTAAGGCGGTTCGACCTGATTAGACCTATGACTTACTAGTGAATAGGAGCCGATTCTTTCATCGTGTTTATAGCATGTGGTTCCTGTCCTGGTTCTATCTCGTATTAGTCCACGACTCAGCTTCGCATTAATCACCTACCTGGCGGTACTGGGTTTCGACAAGCTCCTTAGAACAAAGCTCCTATTGTCGTCTTCGTTGTGTTAAGTGAGGGGTAACTTCCAGAAGAATCTGCTGCTCGTGCTAATGTAGATTCAGCTAAGCTCAGCGCTGAAACAATTCACTCTGAGAATTATTTCTCCCTGATGCACCGTCTCACGTTGCTGTATGACGGTTGCGCGTAGCGAATATCTTCGCAACGGCGGCGTCTCACAGCAGCGAACTGCTTCTCAGGTTCCTGACTGTCTCTGCTTTGCCCTCCAGCGACCTGAGAAACTCTAGAGTGAAGTGATGCGGCGACAAGACGACACGACGCAACAACCGACATGTATATTATCCGGAAATGGTATTTCGAATCATGAGAATCTCGTGCGACGGAAGCAGTTGCTCCAACGACTTTTGGCTTAGTGCTGAGAGCAGCATCCTTCAGTCCGAAAACGGAATATCATCCGTTGAAACTGGCAGTGGACGTCAAGAAATGGAACAGAACGGAATATTGCAAGCGTCAAGACGTGGACGTTGCGATGCGTCGAAACCGTCAACTGGACGCGGCCGTCAGAAGCAGCGTGACGCATGTCATGGGAGATCGCTCTGGGCCGTACGGGATGAGGATCGCATGCGTTCGCAACGAGTTCCTCGGCGTTCCCTTGAATTTCGCACGCGAACAATGAATGATCGACGGTACGAAAGAGCGAAGGCAAGTGGGGGGGATCATGTAGGCGTCTAGAACAGCACCGCCTAGAGAGTCTCGTCGCTCTCCTTCTTCGCGTCACGTTTCAATAAAGCTTCCCACTAACGCGTGTGCCTTTCGTCTCTTGCTGTCCCCCCGCCGTTCTCCCCTCTGCGTGTGTGTTCGAAGCACGGAGTCACCATCGCTGCGGGTCGGACGAAGGTTGCTCCCAGAATCGCCTGACGTCGCTCGAAGCTCGCAGACGTTCTTTTCGATGGTCGAAACGGTCAACAGGACGTCGACGGCACACCACAAAACGTCGATGCGTCGAACACCACGGACGCGGCCGTCAGAAGCAGCGTGACGCAGCTCATGGGAGTGCGCCATAAGGATCGCATGCTTTCGCATCGACTTCCCCGGCGTTCCCTAAAATCCCTTGAAAGATCAATGCGTAACAGCGAAAGCTGGTGGGGGGGATCACGTAGGCGTCTACAGTAGGAACGCCTAGAGAGTCTAGACGCTCTCCTCCTTCGTGTCGTTCGTGAAACTACCCTCCCACTAACTCTTGTCCCCTCCTTCTCCCCCTGTCCTCCTCTTTCCCCTCTCTACATGTGTGCGACTAACTCCGATGAACAGATTTCGGGTCGTCGCCAAGCACATTAAGAATCCCCAGGCGTCGTTCGGAGATCGTTGACAACGATACGTACGAACAGGACAGCTATGGGGGGGACTGTAGTGAGTCGTAGAGCGTCGCTGCGCAGAGGGAACAGTCGTGTCTCTTGCTTTTGCCTCCGCCACTCGCCTCGTGCTGTTTCTAACCCTCCCTTGTTGGTGCCGCATCTGTGTGCGTGTCTCTCTCCCCATGCGTGTATGTGTGTGCCTCACGACTTGCGAGCATGGGCAGCCGAAGCAACGGAGCAACCTGGAGCAACTTGGAGCAGCAGGCGTGAAGGGAAGGCGTGGTTTAGGAGTGTCAGAGCAACGGACAGAGTGAAGTACGCGCCAGGGGGTGCTTGCAGGGGGGACTGTAGTGAGTCGTAGATCGTCGCCGCGCAGAGGCAAGAGTCGTGTCCCTTGCTTTTGCCTCTGCCACTCCCCACCTGCTGTTTCTAACCCTCCCTTGTTGGTGTTGCTTCTGTATGCGTGTTTCTCTCCCCCTTCGTGTGTGTGTGTTCACGGCCAGCGAGCATGGGCAGCCGGAGCAACGGAGCAACCTGGAGCAACTTGGAGCAGCAGGCGTGAAGGGAAGGCATGGTGCAGGAGTGGCAGAGCAGCGGACAGAGTGTGGTACGCGCCAGGGGGTGCTTGCAGGGGGGAGTGTAGTTAGTCGTAGAGCGTCGCCGCGCGGAGGCAAGAGTCGTGTCTCTTGCTCTTTTACTCTGCCACTCCCCTCCTGCTGTTTCAAACCCTCCCTTGTTGGTGCCGCTTATGTGTGCGTGTCTCTCTCCCCATGCGTCTGTGTGTGTGCCTCACGGCCTGCGAGCATGGGCAGCCGGAGCAATGGAGCAACCAGAGCAACTTAGAGCAGCAGGCGTGAAGGGAAGGCATGGTGCAGGAGCGGCAGAGCAGCGGACACACTATGGTATGTGCCAGGGGGTGCTTGCAGGGGGGAGTGTGGTGAGTCGTAGAGCGTCGTCGCGCAAAGGCAAGAGTCGTTTCTCTTGTTTTTGCCTCCGTCGCTCGCCTCCTACTGTTTCTAACCCTCCCTTGCTGGTGTCGCTTCTGTGTGCGCGTCTCTCTCCCCATGCGTGTGTGTGTGTGCCTCACGGCCTGCGAGCATGGGCAGTCGGAGCAATGGAGCAACCTGGAGCAGCTTGGAGCAGCAGGCGTGAAGGGAAGGCGTGGTGCAGGAGTGGCAGAGCAGCGGACAGAGTGTGGTATGCGCCAGGGGATGCTTGCAGGGGAGTGTAGTGAGCCGTAGAGTATCGCTGTGCAGAGGCAAGAGTCATATCTCTTGCTTCTGCCTCCGCCACTCCCCTCCTGCTGGATCTAACCCTCCCTTCTTGGTGCCGCTTCTGTGTATGTGTCTCTCTCCCCATGCGTGTATGTGCCTAACGGCTTGCGAGCATCGACAGTCGGGACCAACGGAGCAGCACGCCTGAAGGGAAGTTGGTACAGCAAGCTGCTTTCACCTCCAACACAAGAGGTAACCAGGGGTGACGATGCCGCAGCAGCACGAATGCACCAAGTGTCGCTTCTTATTTCACTCGCTTTTCCATCTACCATCTGACGTCTCTTCTGGCATGTCGCTGCTCATTCATATCCTCACCTGCTCATCCTCACGCCTCTTGTCCTCTTCCCTGCCTCCCCACTCTCCAGCAATTCAGGGGGCAGTGCCTGCAGCACCTCAGGGGTCACCCGTGCCTGCAATAGCGGCTGTTTCAAAGTATGCACACAAGAAGTTGTTGTCAGTATGTAATTGTATACATCACTCTATAACTGCCTGTAGTGTAGACTCAGTGTAGTTATCTTGCTTGTTAGGTGGTGCACCTTTCTTCTCATGCTTGTTCTTTCATATTTGTACCCTTGAGCCTATAGTGAAACCCTCTTTGCTTTGGCAAACTCTCCCGTCACCTCTTAGCCTTGCTCTAAACCCCAAAACTATGGGTTCTAAGAATGCTGCGTGTTACGTACCCCTCTTTTTGGGGGCTGGTCGGGTTGCCTCAAACGGTCGGTTTGGGTAGACCACTAGGGTCACCGGATTACCAGCAGCTGTACAATGTACAGTATTGTACGTACGCACCAGAGCTTCACACACCTGGTCGAGGCAACCAGGTGGTCAATGCGACCGGTTGGTTGCGCCCACGCACAATCGAGTCAAGGCAACCAGCCTCGAACGTACCAACATGCAGCGCAACCAGTGATACAGTAAACACCAAGGGCAGGTTACACAATCAAATATCGATGCGATTGGTGGAAGAAAACAAATATAAAAAATTGAAGGCAGAACATTGGCGGAAAACTGTTGGGTCTGCCCAAAAAACTATTCGAGTGGTTGGGTCCCAAAAACAAGCGAATGGTACAAACGCAGGTTGCCTGCTGGGACCCAACCGCCCACTTGTCGACCCGACCAGTCACGCTGGGTCGACTTTTACAGGCAACCGGGCCCTGCCACCAAATTAAGGGGTACGTAACACGCCCTAAGTCACTCTAGCTAACCTACTATTTTGACAGTTGTGAGCCAGTCAGCTGGTATACCACATTTTTAAATAACGTGCTTTCCACAGTGCCATGTGCTGTGTCGCCGGATTTTAATGCCACTCTCTTCACCTCTCAAACTCCCCCTTTCCTGTCCTCTCTTCTCCTCTGCTCTTCTCTCTTCCATCCCGTCTATCCAACACCAGCAGCACGGGCACAAGTGGTGGTAGCAGCAGCAGCTATAGTGGTGGGAGGGGTAGTTGCAGCATCATCAACCACTGCAGTGGTTGCAGCTGCAGCAATAAAGGGTGATTGCAGTTTACCCTACTGCTTCCAAGTTTCATCGTATGCTAGTTGGTTCAATTGCAGTTCCCTCCATTTTTTCCATTCAGTAGTCCTTGTGTTCTTGTCCAGTGCTTCGATGTCCTACTCGTCTCCTTATATCCTTCCCATGTTGCCTGGCATCCCCTCTTATCGGGTCCTATTGCTATGGGTTCCAGGTCTCCCTCCCCTCTCCATGTCCCATTGCTGTAACTGCCAGTAGCTGCGGGGGAAGCAGTGGCAGCAACAGCAGTGCAGCCTTTCTCTTCATGGTAGGTGTGACGGGAGATTATGCAGGGCTGGCCTTGCTAATGTATGTCTCTCACATAGTGCTTGCTTCACAAAAGCCGTTTGGAATGGACGCATGCAGAGCTATTTTCTTTCCTTCTAAACAGCTTCGCCAGTGTGCTGATGTGCGCTTTTACTTCTTGTTAGTGACTCCCTGCTCTCTTTCCTCCTCTTTCTTCCATGTCCCATTGTTCTTTCATGTGCTGTCTCTTCTCTGGTGATGCGCAGGGCGAGGCAGAGGAGGACTTGTGAAGCGCAGCATGGCGGAGGACTTGAAGATCTCAAGATGCGCTGCTTCTATGCTTACGCATGCTTCGCTGTCCTCAGCTGTTCTCATGTGTGCTTGCTGTTCTTAGCTGTGCTTAGGTGTGATTAAGTATGCTAATGCTGTGTTGTGCGGTGCTGTGCTGGGAGGGGTCCGCATGTTGTAAAATAAGTGGGTGGGGTGGGCACTAGGCGACGTGGAAAAGCGCCTGGGCACAAACACCCAGCAGGGCAGCGTGGGCACAAACACCCAAGCAGGTGCTGTGCCGCTGTCAAAGTATATGCATGTCATATATGTGTAGGCTGTAGTGGGGTAGCCAATATGGGGTACAGCCCCGTTTAGGGTTTCATACTTCTACCCAGCTCTTCCATAGTGCATTCCATTCATGTCTCTAGATTCTAACATGGTTTCAGAGCAGTAGGTCCGTAGGACCGTTTTTTTTTTCGGGCCCACCTACCGCTACCCCACGACTGTGACTGTGACTGTGCCAGTGACGTGCTGCGCTGTGCGCGCCGGCTGCCTGCTGCGTGCTGTCTGCTGACTGAGCGGTCTGCTACTGCTTAGAGCGCGCATACCTGATTCCTGCGCGCAGCCCGGTTTTTGCCCCGCGCGTCGCCCAAGCTGTTCGAGTCGCGCCTCGGCAGCCCGCGCGCGGCTCGCTGCTGCTCCGCGCGCCGCGTCCGCAGCCCGCGCTGCTTGCTGCAGCCCCACGCGTCGCGTCCGCTGCGCGTCGCGCTGCAGCCCCGCGGGCCGCGGCTGCCGTCCTCGCGCAGCCTGCTGCGGCTTCGTGCGCCGCGCCCGCAGCTCGCGTAGCCTGCTGCAGCCCCGCGCGCCGCGGCTGCCCCTGTTCGTCGCGGCGCCCCCCTCTGGACGTCGCCCCGGCCTGTCGCGACGCCCCCCCCCTGGACGCCGCCCCTGCCTGACTGCCGTCGTCGCTCCTGTAGCAGCTTCCGCAGAGCGCCCTGCCACGGTCACGGCCTCGCCCTGCAGAAGTTGCCGCGGAGCCTCCTGCTGCTGTCGCGGCCCCGTTCTGCAGCAGTCCGCGCGGCCCCGCCCTGCAGCAGTCCTCGCGGCCCCGCCCTGCAGCTACCTGCTGATCGACCTGGGAGAGCGGCCTCGTTCTCCTCCAGTTCTGTACGTAAACAACAAGGCCGCCATTGCCTTGTGTCAGGAGCACAGACTGGAGCACAGAACGAAGCACATCGCTCTGCGTTACTTCCTTGCTCGAAAGTTGCAGCAGCGTGGTCAGCTTCGTCTTGCTCACGTGGCCACTCAGGCCAACACTGCTGATATATTCACCAAGGCACTTCCGTCTGGTGATCATTAGCGTTTTTGTACTTTGTTAGGCCTTGTGCCCACGTTTCCTCACTTGCTGTAGACTTTGCTTGTACTGTGATCCATATATATACCTGCATGCTTGCTCTGCTATGTAGAGATCACAGTGCTGCCGTTGTTGCATATATGCCTCTGCATGTGAACTAGCCTTGTGGCCCTTTGCTTGTGCTCAGTGTGTGTGGTGACGTTGTGATCCACCCTGAGCTTGCTTTGCTTCTCTTGACTGGTCTTGTGACCCCTTGTTCTCCCCCACTTTGCCTATGGGGGTGTGTTAAAGTATATGCATGTCATATATATATAGGCTGTAGTGGGGTAGCCAATATGGGGTACAGCCCCGTTTAGGGTTTCATACTTGTACCCAACTCTTCGTTAGTGCATTCCATTTCTGTCTCTAGATTCTAACAGCCGCACCCTGATGATTCAGCTCATGCTATGCCGTGGAATGAGGCTGCTACAGGCCAAGCCCTCGTCCGTGGAGCTGAGTGAAAGCGAGATGAAGCAGGGTAGCAGGGCAGAGGGTCCTCCTGCAGGTGCCGTGCCGCACCCTGATGATTCAGCTCATGCTACGCCGTGGAATGAGGAGGACTTGGCTGCTACAGGCCAAGCCCTCGTCAGTGGAGCTGAGTGAAAGCGAGATGAACCTGCCCTCATGAGAAGTATACGGTACACACAATCATCATGCGGTGATGATAGGGAGAAATTTGGAATGCAGAGCACCCACCCTCCCATGCGCTGCGTGCAGCATGCATGAACATACAAAGCCACGGTAGCCACCACGAAGTGTGACTTGGGCAAATCCTTTGCGAGCAGGGATGGCAGGACAGACAGTGATTGCTCACTTTTCGTGCAACACAGGAATGGTCAGGAATGGTCTCTAGATACAAACTAGAGGAAAATTGTTGCTGCTACTGAATGATACCACGAAAGGAAATATGAGCTCATGGCTAGCAAACTTCTACAATGCCAGCTCCAGTAATGGTGAAACAGTCTGCACTTATTTTACTACTACTCCAATGACGTACGCACTAGTAGGGCGTACAACTTGGACCCTTTGCCGGGGACGCGAACAGCCCGGTTTGCCGGGTGTGGGTACAGTACACCTAACCACCACTATTTTCAACTGGGAACAATTGCATTGTTCCCGCGTTTCGAAGATACCCAGCACGCATTCGACTATTTCAGTTGGACACTTGGGGAACTTGGGCTACGAAGCACCCCGATTTTTAATGTTAACAAACGCATGAAAGCAATTCTGAGAAGGGGCACTTTTGCTGTTGCGAATTCCCTTGTGCCACTTCTACTCTTTTTGGGGGTCTGGAACCAACTCACTATGAAATCAGTGTGAAATTTCTGACTCCCACACAACCCTTGGTCAAAGATTCCAGAAAGGGTGCATACCCTCTTGCGCAAGTGGGGTTGAAAATAGACGGAAAGAAAATAGCGGTGGTTAGGTGTAACACGTCCACTGACACTAGACAATCCCATCAGAGGAGCACAAGCCAATTCTTTTGGGAAACTATATTCCAGGCCCATACTTTCAGATTTCTCTCAAATTTAGCCCCAGGTTCACTAAAAAAGTACCACTTTCTAGAATTTTGCTCACGCGAGGCCCAAAGTATGTTCAAAACTGGTCCTGCAGGGCGAAGTTTTCGACACGTGTCCAATTTCGCCTGGAAAATTTTTCGACGGGGCAAAAAATAATAAAACCCCTCGGGAACTAGGGCACATTTGCGGGAGGGATCAACCCTAAACACCAAGCGGGTCCCCGTGTTTAGGGTTGGTCCCTCCCGAATGTGTGTCCTGGTTCCCCTAGGGGTTTTATGTTTTTTGCCCCCGACAGAAATTGCTAATACGAAATAGGACACGTGTCGAAAAATTTGCCCCGCAGGACCAGTTTTGAACATAATCTGGGCCTCGCGTGAGCAAACTTCTAGAAAGCTGTACTTTTTGAGTGAAATCAAGACTAAATTTGAGAGATTTTTGAAACTATGGAGCTGGGATATACTTTCCCAATTCTTTTCCATAA